ACGGAGTCCACCGAATATAATGCCCAGCACTAGAGTTAAGACAAGCTTCGATTTTTTGGGGTACAAATAACTTTCGAGAGTATTAGTAATGCTTGAAATAAGAAATGTGTCAGACTATGTCGATGATTCACTTTACATGACATTGTTGAAAGGAGACGTTCATTTCGTATAAAAGTGTGTTTAATGAAGAGATCCGTTGGTTGACCTCACCTGAATACAACGGCTGCTTCCGGTCGATCTCCAACCAATGTCCATGTTGACCTAAGATTGAGCCAGACAATCTTCTTAACTTAGTGATAATTAGACTTTTAGAAAAGATGACTTGCAACTATGATTATACCGTCACATGATGGACGACAGTTCGGCACCATTTCACCCGAAACAAAAGGGAATGTCTCGTGGGCTGCGCCAACATGAACTTCATCGTAAAATAGACAAATGGTTGAAGATAAAAGGGGATTGGTCGTCCTCTTCTGGAGAATTCTACCAACGAAGCTCTTCATTAGACACACTTTCCTACACAATAAAAGTCTCCACAGCTACATCGGTTAAGGTGATTGCGAAAGGAATATTCGAATTTTCCCGTAATCAAATGCCATTTCCTTTCACTTGACTGACTGTACCTCAAAATCGCTCTATTTCTCATCCTCACACCCAACGGGATTTGATCCCGGGTCATTAGCATCAAGGTGATATGATACCATTCCACAATCACCATTGCCAGTAAATCATAGGATAGGTATGAAGTAAAAGACAAGCCAACCTCTCTGAAATCACATTTTATTGTCAAGACTACAATTCAGTTCATCCGAGAAAGTGCAACTTGCTGGAGGCTAAAGTAAATGGCATTTAATGACCTTGTGAGGCCTACTTATATTTGGTAACAAGAGGGTAAGGGCTTGTAGTCGAACTTTTTACCACAACAACTTAAGTAGGCCTTAAGTTTTCATTGAATTTCGCGTAGCCCTACCTCCCAAAAAGATTTTCCCACCCCAGCAGGAGTAGACTGCAGCCTTGACCTCGCCTGAACTGATCTCATCAGCGCCCCCAGCGGGACTCGAACCCAGAGTTCGATAATGCAGCCATGAATGCCCTTGGGTCATAGGATAGATGTGAAATGCAAGTAAGGTCAGGTATTTTCACAAAATACACTCTGTTGTTGAATCAAAGTTGTAGTTGCCATAGGAATAGACTAAATTAGTTATTTAAGTGGGTCGACCTCGTTTTCGCAACTTGGTCTTGTTGCTAGGGCGACTTAGTTGGACGCATCTTGTCCGAAGTCCTCTGCTCTCGTAGTTAACATAATTCCCTGCGTCAGACGGTCGACTTGGTACACTCCCAGACGCTTCGCCAGCATCGTAGTCGACGCCTTGGAATGTGCAATGTCTACGTTCCAACGTTATGAATTAGAATAACTTCTGTAGCAGAGGGCTTCGGACAAGGTGCATCCAATTAAGTCGCCCTGGCAACAAGACCAAGTTGCAAAAACAAGGTAAACTCTCTTCCATTCATTGAACGCGACCATACCAAGGACAACACCATCGTGGTCTTCATATCTTCGAGTAAATTACTTATTCGAAGGTATAAAGACCAAGATGGTGTGGCCTTTTGTGTGGTCGCAGTCTCCTTTCGTTGTTTTAAGTAGTTGTTTGACCTTATTTGCGCAACTCGGTCATGTTGGTAGGAAGACTTAGAGGAACGCAACCCCGTCCACGGTCCGACTTTGGAAATGATCATGCATACAATGGACTTCAAACTGGGTGCGTTTCTCTAAATTTCCTGCCAATATGACCAAGTTGCGAAAACAAGATCAAACAACCTCTAAAATACTTATTGTTCTCGAAACTATAATTCCATACGAAAAATACTTAATGTTCGTTTACAAGTAAGTTTCAAAGACCACCAGTAGATCATATATTCGAGATGTATCATCTTATTTCGTTTAAAGCGATGAAAAATTGGCAGTTGAATTTTGCCACATTGATACATATCATATACCGTATTTTACGGCGTATAAGACGACTGGGCATATAAGACGACATCCTGACTTTTCCAGTTAAAATATAGATTTTGTAAGGAACCATAGTATAATTAGCGATCCCTAAACTACACTAGGTGTATAAGACGATCCCTCACCTAGGAGCATAAATTTATGGTGTGAAAAGTCGTCTTATAAGCCGGAAAATACGGTATATATATATATATGATATTCTTGTAGTCTAGAAAGTATACTTCTAAACTAAAAATAAGTAATGCAGTCTATTATTTTAGCAAATAAAGCTTTGTTTAATCGACAATCTCACCATATAATATGATCTAGGAGAAGGCCTGTCTTTCCTCGAAATTCACAACTGCCCTATCACTCAAGTCTTGGCAGTTTGGCGTGGTGAGATTATACGCTGCACTACCACGACTCGGATTAAAAGTCTCACTGGAAGTGTTGATGAGACGAGTTCAGACAAAGTCGAAATTTCAGTCCTGTCCAGTCGAGATGAGACTGCCTTTTGCAAAGCAAATCCATGTGAATTACACTGGAAACACTAGGCCAACTTGTATAATTGCGAGAAAAATTCAACTACCAGTATATATAAATATAAATATTTATTTATTTATTTATTTATTTATTTATTTATTTATTTATTTATTTATTTATTTATTTAT